AATAAGTTAATGGTCAAGAGCCCAACTAAAACGAATACTTATCTCCATAATGGTGACTTAAACATTCCGGTTTTCTCCTTCAGAGATTCTGCTTGTTAACATCAGGTGTCTTCAATAATGCTCAATCATCACTCAGTTATTCACTTAATTAACTCATTAGCTCAGAGTTTAATTGGGTCGCTTAAAATGACCAAATTCCATGATGTTGAAGTTACATGAACATATTATGTTTGTTTAACGAAACATAGTTATGTGGAACCGGTGGAACCTGTTTACAAAAAAAAGTTAAGTAAAGCCAACATATCATTTTTTTGAGTGTAAGAGCGCAAGAGGCTAAGTGGACAAGAGACAAGAGCAAAAGGAGCAAGAGGGAGCTGATCTTGATGATCAGTGATTTTAAAGCGTGAAGACGTCACACCCTCTGGAGGTGCGTGAGCCTATGCGAAGCTGCCCCTTTGGAGGGAGTTTTACGACTCATTGTCTTCTAGCAAGGCATTTGAATGTTTAATTTCATTGGGTGTTTACGAAAAGAATCTACAAGATTCTTATAATACTAATGTGTCATAAAATGTAATGTAAATTAACAAATGGGGGACGAAGATTGGAGTTTATAAAGACTAAACATACAACACATATGATTTTGGTTAACCATAGTATGCAAGTCATGTCTCAAACCAAAATAGTTTAGAAGAGAGAATGAATACATAGGCCAAACCACATAAAAGGAAAATTATGATTGAAAATTAGATATTAATACATTTATCACATGGTTATATATATAGAATATATAGGATTAAAAGGGTTCATTTATTCTTCTCAGCAAGAATTAAGAGAGTGTCACAATTCCCTGCACATTCTTTTGGGTCATAAAACTTCAGTCTTACTGTGTACTGTAACAGGACACCGAGTTCTGCCAGTGTGTAGGCTTCATTTGTGGGGGAAGTTTCATATAACTTTGTTGGAAGAGTGATTTTGTTGGATTCTTCATTAAATATAATGATTAATTTGTGTGTGTCTGATTGGTCCAGATGCTACACTATTTCGTTGAGAGAAGCTTTCAATCATGACGTCACATCAGGCCTCCTGGAGACACTGATGTTTTCTTCAAGGTCAGACCAATCTATGAGTCCATAAGGAAACGCTGTCTGCAGCTACAACTGGAGGAAGATCTCTGTATTGATGAGCAGATTGTGCCTTTCAGAGGAAAACTCTCTGTGCTCCAGTATATCAAAGGGAAACCTACACCATGGGGAGTGAAGATGTATTTCCTCTGTGGCAAAAGTGGGCTTGCTTATGATTTCCTCATCTATCAAGGTGCCACAACAAAGCTTTCTGAGCAAAGTAAAAAGCTTCTAGGGCTTGGAGCTTCTGTTGTCTTCCACCTGTGCCAGAGAATCCAGGCTCCCAACCACAAGCTCTTTTTTGACAACTATTTCACCACCTACAATGCCCTTGAAGTTCCTGCAGAAAAGAAAATCCATGCTGCTGGAACAGCAAGGCTTTGCCGCTTTGGAAATCCGCCACTGAAGACAGACAAGGAAATGTCTAAGAAAACACGAGGAAACCATGATGAAGTTAGAAGTAGGGATTAAAAAGTTGTTCTAGTGAAGTGGTTTGATAACCGCTCTGTTGTACTGGCCTCCAACTTTGTTGGTGTTGGAGATGAAGATGAAGTTGAGAGGTGGGATAAGAAAGAGAGGAAGTTTGAGAAGGTCAAGCGTCCAGAGGTTGTGAAGAAATACAACAGGGGCATGGGAGGGGTGGACAAGCTTGATCAGCTAATCAGCCTTTACAGGATTGATATCAAGTCCCGCAAATTGCCACTGCGCATGATTACTCATGGTTTTGATGTTGCTCTAGTGAATAGCTGGCTTGAGTATCGCAGGGACATTGAATACAAAGGAACTCAGCCACAGAAATTCATGGATCTCCTTGAATTCAAAATGAATGTGGCCAAAGTGCTTGTGCGTTCTGGGAAGCCACAGGGTTAAAAAAAAAACGAGGGAGGCCAAGCAATTCTAACGAAGCCAGTACCTCTCAATCTCCACATGATGAAGCTGGACAAAAGAGAGGGGCAAGGGAATGGCGGCCAGTTCTTGAAGTCCAAAAAGATATGGTTGACCACCTGCCAAATTATGATGCAAAAAAAGAAGCAACAAGATGCAAATTGGAAGGTTGTTCTGGGAAAACACACATGTTCTGTGATAAGTGCAAGGTGCACTACTGCTTTGTGTCACAGAGAAATTGTTTCAAAGATGCACACAGGAAATTACTCTAACATGACTTGATTCCTAAGTTTATTTAGTTTGTTACAATAAATGTGAAATCTGTCAAACAAAAACTCAAAATTAAAGTTGAAATGTTAAATTTAAGTAAAAAAAAGGTAATATGTTATCAACAATTGTTGTTTATAATTTTATTTCATGTTTGTAACTTTTTTTCAAGTACTCCTGTTTTGACCTGACGTCCATTGAAATGGACAAAAAAATGTGCAATTAAAGAGTATTGAAATTTGTAATATTTGTATTTGGTCTCATTTATAGACGCCTCACGTAAATGTACTTTCAGTATTTTTCGGAAACTGGTAACATAATTCAGGTCTGAAGGGGTTAACAAACTGTAGAAACACCTGTACGAAAAGGGGCTGAATCCGAAATCGCCCCTTAAACCCTCATTCACTATTCCCTACGTTAGTCCACTAATACTGTTCACTTGAAGGAGTGTCAGTGAAGGAAAACGAGTGAGTGAATTCGGACAGCCGTTGAGCGTAACTTACATCGGCTGTACACTCGTTATTGCGGTGCAATGTAGGATTGAATAAGTGCACTCAATAACGTGCACTAGGTTTCGGACACCACTACAAATGGCTGTCCCTTCAAATAAAGTCTCTGTCAGACTATCACGAATACCGTAAAACAGTCGTAATGCTAGATAGTGATTTCAGGCTAGGCCTAACTTTACTAAGTTTATCACCGTAGTAACGTTAGTACATCTATAAACGGGTTTGCTAATATAATGTTTGAATTACTTTATGCTAGCGAGCTAACTGGGATAGCTAGGATTAATTTCCAATCGATTTCACTTTGCGGAGATGATTAAAACGGACTAAAGAGAACTTTTTAGTTTTAGAATATATTCAACGTCTCAGTAATTACACAATACTTAATGTTATAAGACGATATGACTTACTTTTCGTAATCCGGCTGCAGAAGCTTCTTTGTGTTGACTTGTCACTGGACCGTTCATTGCTGAATGTGGAAACCATTTAACCCAACAGCCGGGTAATTTACATTTTTGTAATTGCTTACATTGTTTTACTATTAGAGTAAAATAATGATAATAATAATTTTAAAAAAGTGTCAATTGATAAAAAAAAAAAAAAACTAGATCAATCACACATTTTTTCTGATTAATCGCGAATAAATCGCAATTAAAAACACTTACGTTTTTAATATATATTTTGTAATGTTGTAGAAACAAAATAAAGACAGGATATTTTAAATTCTAGTTTAATGGCATCTTTTTATGAATAAAGGCCATACTGATACTCCTACTGATGTCTTGATGAAAATGATTCCCCATTTTAAACACTAATTATAGGCCTTCGACATCAGAGTCAGGGCAGGACTTAGAGCGGTGGAGGCCCCTGGGCTTCAGTCATTTTCGGGCCCTACTTTCTACATATGACTTTAAATAGAACAACATGATACACACACGAGCTATGTAGCTACACGATTCTGGATAAATTGAGAATATAAAAAAGAGATCACGATTCTCTACAAACAACTAAACAAAATAACAATTTATTAGAGGTTCTGACAAAATGCAGTCTATTTAAAAGGTTTAATTAAATAAAAAAATAAAAATAAAAAAACTTGGTCTTAATTAATTAATCAGTGACTCACTCAAATACTTCACTTGTTTTATTACTGGATAAATCAGCATTTTTGAACAAATCTCCTGAATGAATGATTCAATGACAAATATTTTAAGTCACTTGTCGCCATCTGGTAGCGTAACAATGTCAGGGATCCAATCGTTTTTACAGTGTGTTAATGTAAAAAAAAAAAAAAGAATCATTTATTTATTTGAACACTGATTGAAGGTTGAAAACTTTTTCCCAATAAATAAATAATGATTAAAAAATAATTTCATTCAACTGTAGGGGTAATATTAGATAGCAATTATAATGCAATATAATACAGGACGTGCTCTCAGTTGCAAGATATCAAAATAACACATTAAACAGTGCAAGATAAAGAATGTGTGTGTACGTAAGTGAGTAGATGGGTGTTTAAGTGACCTTTGAAAAACATCAAGACTATGCACACAAATTAACAATTTACAGAAAATAAAAAAAAATACTACACTATCACAGCTTAAACAAGCATGACATCATCCAACAGCAGAATCCAGAGGCTGATCATTTAAGAGTTTATAATAAGATGATGTCCGATATATTCTCCCTTGTGCCTTTTTGCGCGCATTTTTACAAAGAATTTAATAATAAAACTGTTCAGAAAGAATAAATCCCATATGTATTAAAGAAAACGCCCAAGTTGAATTTGTAACTATTCAATAAATGTGTTCAGATTCGATGTGTGCTCCTGTGCGCGTGCATGCGTATATGAGTGATTCGAATTTCAGTTGCTATAGCGACGCGTGTTATGAATTCTGAATGCATATTTACACTTGAACCGATCGCTGTCTGTTGGTTGAGAGAGACGAGGCGAAATCACAGACTTTTGCAGAATATTTTCTGAGCGAATCTTGTGACTTTGAAGCTGATTTCTGAGAGGAGACTTTATTCTGGACATCGGAGGATATATCCTTTATAGATTTATATTTTTGAAAGAGATCTTATCATTTCTGAGGATAATTTTATAGTTCTTTTCTTACTTTAGAAGGAGTTTTATTACATTTTTTGTTTTGTTTTATTTATTATTTTGTGAAGGAGAGTTGCATTTTATTATTGTATTGTATTTTGTGTTGTGTTTATTGCAGTTTGGAGGAGGATGTCGATGGCTCACATGATGGGTGAAAGAGGAGGTGAGTGCTTTAGTTTTTCATTTATGGTTTATGGTGTGATTTTGTACAATGACTGACTACATTAATGTGAAGAACCCATTTGATCCCTCAGTCTAATCACATGTATTTTAATTAACATTTAATGTGAAATAAACTTTTGAATTTGAGTAACTGAAGCAACAATTTGTAATTGACCACTGACATTGATTATTATTATTAAACATTACTAACTACAGTATGTGATGTGTGAAATATTCCAGCCTCAGGCCGCTCCAGATCCAGGAGAGCTGCTTTCTCTCAGACGGCTGGTCAGGAGGTTTGGAGACCCGGTTCTGATGACCGTGATCAGGATCCGCTGCCAGACCCGACCCAGACACAGAGCCAGGATCTTCCTGGATATTTAACACCTCTGTCTTCTGAGTCTGTTTCTGTGTCCACAGGTCAGGCTGACAGGAGGAGGACGAGGAAGAGCGGCAGCCAGAAGAGCCCGGATGATGGACGTCCGTTCACTTCATCTAAACACTCTCGCAGAGGTCAGAATAGGCTTTAATAAAGAAGTTATGGCTCAGCTTCTAGTTCTATTTTCAATGGCTGATTTGTCATTGAAATAAGTTGAACCAACTAAAGTAACAATTTGGTGTGACCACTGACATTGATTATTCATATTAATAGCTTATATATAAAAAAGAAACAGTTTTTGATGTGTGAAATTTTCCAGCCTCAGGCCGCTCCAGATCCTGGAGAACTGCTTCCACTGATTGTTCTCCGGGCATCATGTCATCATCAGCTTTGTCCCTCTCTGAGGTCAATGTGGAGCGCTGGTTCTGTAGAGAGTCGTTGAGTCTGAGCAGCAGAGGCTCGTACAGCGTGGAATGGAGGAGGAGTGGCGATGGATCGGAGAGCCCAAACCAACAGGACAGTTGCAGCGACTGCTGTTTGTCCAGGTCCCACAGCCTGGAAGGGTTGCTGTGCCCTCCGCTGCCCGGGCAAGTTCCTGTCGAGCCAACAGAGACTTCAAATGGCCGAACTGCTCAGGGTGCCATGGAGGCTTCTCCTGTGAACAAGAGCTCAACAGGTGAGGCTGAAATAAGGCTGGGCAGAGTCAAGTCTACAGAGACATTTGGCTTTTTCATGCAAATATTTCAGTTTTTAACATGTTAATGTCTGGTCACATTTACTGTTGCTCAGCAAAATTGATCTGAATTAAAAAAAAAGAATTATTAATATTTTAATTGGACATTCGTCTAACATTTTCAGAACATTCAAAAGTAATTTTCCCATAATGCAAATTATAAAATAGAGTTCCTTTAACCAAGAAAAAAATATTTTTAACCAGTTGAAAAAACATTTTTTGAAATAACATTTTCACAATTTAATGGAAATGTTAGCAAAACGTTCTCAATAAGCGAATTATATTTCTATTGCTCTTGAATTGTGTTTTATGAAATTGCACTGTAAATAAACCAATACCAATAAAAGATCAGATAAATAAGAAAAATAACTATATCGTGATAATTGCGAAATGAAATGACTATTAATATTGTGAAATAAGATTTTGGGAAATGTATGCAGGCATTAAGCAGAAGTCAGGCGGGTAGCGTGGGAATATTTCATTACTTTGGATCTGTTACATTACAGATAAGAATTTAACAGTGAAATGTAAATGATGTCATTATTGCTTAATTTGACGTCAGAGATCATGTTTCTAATAGTTGTGTTTTCAATTGTTTTTTCTTGATTTCAGACAAAGCTACAGAATCTAGGAAGAACGGAACGGGTTGTTTCCTCTACAGGCTCTGGAAGGCTGTGAAGTGTGTTTTCTGCTGCTGTTGCCACTGTAGTGCTGTGAACGTTGTGGAGCCTTTTGTTCCTCCAGCAGATCTGGAGCCAGAGCCTGATCCTGATCCATCATCTCCTGCTCCTGATCACTCCGGCGTCAAGACAAATAATGGTACATCGCCACTCATTATTCTCCAGCATTATTCTAAACAGTATTATCTTGTTTTCCACTAAAAATAAGGCTTGTTTTCAGAATATTTCCCCCATTATAATATTATTATCTAGCAAACTAATATTTTTCTGTTTGTTTTTCAGAGTCCTTTGAGTCTCTCTATTGCGTTATAAAGATGATTGGATCTGGAGGATTTGGCAGGGTGTACCAGGGAACACGCAAATTTGATGGCAAAAAGGTCAATCTTACCGAATTGTACAAACATTTTGCTCTTGCATGCATCAAAACATATTTAAAACAATTCACACATGGTTTAATACTTAGTGCTTGAATACTGTTATTGAAACTGGGTTTTTTTTTTTTGCAGGTTGCCATCAAGCGGATTCGGAAGATTGACAACAATCGTTATCTTAATATTGTAAGTTGGCCAAAAGCTGAATATGTATATTTAAGTTGTTTAAGTGCAGATTACTATTGGACAAGATTACTTATCTAAAAAGATCAAAGAAAAGTACATTTAAAAATGATGCGTTTTCTTCAGATTTTTACCCTGCTAACCTTCCGTCTGCTACTTTTCTCTAGCCTGGGCATCCCGAACCTCTCGTTACAGAAGTGGCGCTGCTGATGATGATGAGGCGAGAACCCATAAGCCCCTTCGTCATACAACTATACGAGTGGTTTGAACATCCTAAAGAATTCACTCTGGTTATGGAGTATCCTGAACCCTACGATATCTTGCTGGACTTCATCACTCGTAATCATCAAATGCATGAACCAACAGCACGGTTCATCATGCGACAGGCTGTGCTGGCAGTGCAACACTGCATCCATCATGGGGTTTTCCACAATGACATCCATGCGCAGAATTTCCTGTTGAAGAGAGACCCGGTACAGCTCAAGCTGATAGACTTTGGCTGCGGTCAGCTGTTTAGTAGAGATGGCTACGAGAGCAACATTTACATTGGTGAGCATTCTGGGAGTGTGGAAACCTGAATGTAGTGACTTACTAATTATTTGATGTTTAAAAAAAAAAGCTCAACAAAGTGCAAATGTGTTGCTTACAGGAGCACCGGATTACTGCCCACCTGAAGTCTTGACAGAACCTCGATTCCACGCCGTCCCAGCAAATGTCTGGTCTCTAGGAGTGTTGTTGTACAAGATGATGAACGGATGTTCTCCTTTTCGCAATAGAAGAAAAATCACACAAGCCAAAGTTACATTTCTGAACCCCACCTTATCCAAAAGTGAGTGAATAATATTGATACATTGATAAACACACACATAAAGCAAAGGCGTTGTACAGAAACAGTTAAAGGTGAAGTATGTAAGATTTTTTATATATAGCTCAACGTATAGTAGTTTGGGGCGTCGCTACTGTAGCAGGCGGAGCCATGGGAAAAGAAATGCGGCTTTAGTTACAGAAGTGAAAGCCAAAATTCACTGCATTTATACCTTCAAAGATTAAACAGGTCATGAACACGTCAAAGTGAACAGAGCATTGTGATGCTACGCGCTACAAAGCACGCTTCAATACCATACAGCATCATCATGCACCCGTTCAGAAAGACACATTTTCGTAAAGACAAATGCAACACAGCTAAAAGTATTCCTAATATGTTGGACCTGAAACATGAACCAGTCAGAGCTGCGTTTGTGATGTTTAAGTCGGGGAAGACGCGATGCACGGAAGGGGCCTTTGCAAGGTTTTTTGAAAATATGCTTTATTTTGTCATTTATTCCTCTCGCTGCCACTAGTGTCGCAGAAACGACATACTTCACTTTTAAAGTAAAGATAAGTCACATTTTGCAGTGTATTAATCATGTTTTAGATGCTGTTTTCATAGATGCCAGGTCACATGGTCATGACTAACCAGCTCTCTCCTTATTCAAATTTGTACAGAATGCAGGGATCTGATTAGCCAGTGTCTAGCCCGGGATCCAACTAAACGCCCAACGTTAGAGCAGATGTTACAACATAAATGGATTAGTAATGATCTACAGTAGATTGGAGAAGTTCAGGAGATTCACTCGATCAGTTTCAGGTGTGAGGAAGTGTAACAGAGAGCAGGATTATTACCTTTTGTCTTCAATTCTGGATTATTTGTAGTGAGATTTTCAAATTTGTGTTCATTGTAATGTTCTTGCTATAGTCAAGTCACCTTCATTTATATAGCGCTTTATACAATACAGATTGTTTCAAAGCGGCTTCACGGTAATAAACAGGAGAATAACAGAATCAGTGATGCAAACAGAATTAAATTCTGTTCTAAATCAGCTCTAAAAAATCATTCATGAGTTGACTTATTCATATAATCTTTGTATTGGATAGGAAATGACATACTTGCTGAGAGCTCTGAGCTCGAGACTCGACCCGAAGCCTGAAGTCCAACTCCATCCTGACAGGAACTCAGAGTCTGTCCACGTCTGAGCAAGAACACGAGAGACTGCAAGACTGGAACGAAGTCATCAAGTCATCACACACACATTTGCTTTGTTTTAAAGGTCAAGACAAGTCATCTTCTACAAACATTTGTGAAAGAATGTGTCGCTCTCAGGAGCTCAGTGAATTCAAGTGTGGTACCGTGATAGGTTGCCAACTATTCATGAAATTTCCTCACTATTAAATATTCCACGGTCAACTGTTAGTGGTATTATAACAAAGTGGAAGCAATTGGGAACAACAGCAACTCAGCCTCGAAGTGGTAGGCCACGTAAAATCACAGAGCGTGGTCAGTGCATGCTGAGGCGCACAGAAGTCGACAACTTTCTGCAGTCAATAGCTACAGACCTCCAAACTTAAGAAAAAGATTAATATTTTAACGCCATTTTGTATTGTTTAATTTGTTTTGTTTTTTATTGTATTTTGTTCAATGCGTTTATATTTTGTACGCTGCATGGTTTCTTTTTATGCTTTTAAATGCTCAATGTTTTATTGTACAGCACAGTGTGCAGCTCTGTTGCTTTTAAATGTGCTATAGAAATACATTTTGACTTGACTTTAATTTGTGTCATTGATTCATTTTAGATGCTCATGAACAGAGAGAGTTGAAAGGCACTGTAAAATGCCAAAAAGTAAATGCAGACCCAGTACTTTTAAAGCCCATTCACACCAAGAACAATAACTATAATTGTAACTCTATTAGCGTCCACACCAATGACCGATAACACTGTTCACTCTAAGGATTTACTGCAGTTTTGTCGTCTGCCACTTTAAATGCTGGAGCTCTGTCAAGTGGAATGGATTCTGATTGGCTGTCAATGTTTTTATTGTTCATTAGCTGGAAACAAATCTGAAAGTTATTCCAAGATATTGTTTCTCTGTGCGTTATAGTTGTGGTGGGGACTCTGCTCTTCTTTTTAGATTTAGAATGATTTTTAAAAAAAGAAATCTTTATCATTATAGTTATCATGCTAGGTGTGAACAGGCCTTTAGCACGGTAAAAAGAAAGGTATTCAGGATTGCAATTTGTCAGAATACCGATATGAGAAACAGAGAGTTCCTCCTCACTACACGTGTCACAAGTTCAAAAGAGACTATTGAGAGGATTCTCCATCCTGATAACGTCATTTATGTTGACAAACAAAAAGTATTAATACATATAGCTGCAAGAAGTAATTTTTGGGGCAGAGCATGTCAAAACCAAAGTGACAGGCTAAGCAAGCATGGCAGGGAGCTTGCTGACAAATGGGCAAAACCATAGACTGTAAAAAAAGATGGACGACGCCCCTTCACTTTCTTCCATTGGTGAAAAGTGAAGCCGCCAAAGTCCTAATATGGCGCTGACATTTGGGACCTGCTTCTGCGCAGTAGTGAGCGGGAAGTGGAGCCCACCCTCACTCTCGCAGAAACAGTTAGTACAAAGTTTACTGTGTGAAATAATAAACAGTTATGAAATTAGAGTTAAAATTAAAGTTGAAGCTCCAATCTCCTCCCGAAAATCTCCCAAAAAAGTCTGTTGGTGCCTCGGTGACTGTTGTAGCAAACTAGCTCTATTAAATATTAATTAACAATCATAACTTGTTATAATTGATTATGAATATTTGGATCAGTTAATCGGGTTAACTTGATGTAGCTACATTAACATTACAACCAATTACTCGGTTAATCCCGTGAACACTCAATATTGGTTAATAATTTTTTTTATAGAAATTTACATTTCCGGGGCATGGGAAATGTCTTTCTTACTAAGTACTACTAAGAGCAAGTAGTCAAGATCTATGATTAGTGACTCCAGATATGAGCTTGAGACACGGACAACTTTACGTGTGATATAAAAAAGACTTTATTAACTTAACTAGACTAAACATTTAAACTACTCTAACATACACATACATACCTGTACATGCATACAGTTCACCAAGGGAAAGCTGAAGCAGAATACAGGAAAGCAAGAAGTTATAGCATTGTTTGATGTTCAGCAGATCAACAGCCTGAGCAAACCATCAGTTTAGTTCTAACACGCCCTTCTTTAAAAGGGGTAAGGATACTTAATGTATCAAATAATGAGACTAAGTTTGATACTTGCATGTCTTGTCCAATTGCATTAAACTGTCCTGATGCAATTTGTTGAGGCTCCAGTTGATCTTTGCTGATGTGGTCTTGATGAGAGAGAACCAGTGGTAGTCAGAGGATCTTTGGTGAATGGAAAGACAAGGCCGCAGCCTGGCGCAAGCTTGGGAGTCCTTGAGGGACTTCTAGTTCAGCATCATCTTCACGTTACTTCTCAAGAAGGTCCGAGAGAGTAAGAGATCCAGAGGCTAAGAGCGCAAGAGGCTAAGTGGACAAGAGACAAGAGCAAAAGGAGCAAGAGGGAGCTGATCTTGATGATCAGTGATTTTAAAGCGTGAAGACGTCACACCCTCTGGAGGTGCGTGAGCCTATGCGAAGCTGCCCCTTTGGAGGGAGTTTTACGACTCATTGTCTTCTAGCAGGGCATTTGAATGTTTAATTTCATTGGGTGTTTATAAAAGAATCTACAAGATTCTTATAATACTAACGCGTCATAAAGTTAGCAAAATGTAATGTAAATTAACAAATGGGGGACGAAGATTGGAGTTTATAAAGACTAAACATGCTACACATATGATTTTGGTTAACCATAGTATGCAAGTCATGTCTCAAACCAAAATAGTTTAGAAGAGAGAATGAATACAGGCCAAACCACATAAAAGGAAAATTATGAGATTGAAAATTAGATATTAATACATTTATCACATGGTTATATATATAGAATATATAGGATTAAAAGGGTTCATTTCTTCTTCTCAGCAAGAATTAAGAGAGTGTCACAATTCCCTGCACATTCTTTTGGGTCGTAAAGCTTCAGTCTTACTGTGTACTGTAACAGGACACCGAGTTCTGCCAGTGTGTAGGCTTCATTTGTGGGGGAAGTTTCATAGAACTTTGCTGGAAGAGTGATTTTGTTGGATTCTTCATTAAATATAATGATTAATTTGTGTGTGTCTGATTGGTCCAGACGCTACAATATTTCGTTGAGAGAAGCTGTCAATCATGACGTCACATCAGGCCTCCTGGAGACACTGATGTTTTCTTCAAGGTCAGACCAATCTATGAGTCCATAAGGAAACGCTGTCTGCAGCTACAACTGGAGGAAGATCTCTGTATTGATGAGCAGATTGTGCCTTTCAGAGGAAAACTCTCTGTGCTCCAGTATATCAAAGGGAAACCTACACCATGGGGAGTGAAGATGTATTTCCTCTGTGGCAAAAGTGGGCTTGCTTGTGATTTCCTCATCTATCAAGGTGCCACAACAAAGCTTTCTGAGCAAAGTAAAAAGCTTCTAGGGCTTGGAGCTTCTGTTGTCTTCCACCTGTGCCAGAGAATCCAGGCTCCCAACCACAAGCTCTTTTTTGACAACTATTTCACCACCTACAATGCCCTTGAAGTTCCTGCAGAAAAGAAAATCCATGCTGCTGGAACAGCAAGGCTTTGCCGCTTTGCAAATCCGCCACTGAAGAAAGACAAGGAAATGTCTAAGAAAACACGGGGAAACCATGATGAAGTTAGAGGTAGGGATGAAAAAGTTGTTCTAGTGAAGTGGTTTGATAACCGCTCTGTTGTACTGGCCTCCAACTTTGTTGGTGTTGGAGATGAAGATGAAGTTGAGAGGTGGGATAAGAAAGAGAGGAAGTTTGAGAAGGTCAAGCGTCCAGAGGTTGTGAAGAAATACAACAGGGGCATGGGAGGGGTGGACAAGCTTGATCAGCTAATCAGCCTTTACAGGATTGATATCAAGTCCCGCAAATGGCCACTGCGCATGATTACTCATGCTTTTGATGTTGCTCTAGTGAATATCTGGCTTGAGTATTGCAGGGACATTGAATACAAAGGAACTCAGCCACAGAAATTCATGGATCTCCTTGAATTCAAAATGAATGTGGCCAAAGTGCTTGTGCGTTCTGGGAAGCCACAGGGTTAAAAAAAAAAACGAGGGAGGCCAAGCAATTCTAACGAAGCCAGTACCTCTCAATCTCCACATGATGAAGCTGGACAAAAGAGAGGGGCAAGGGAATGGCGGCCAGTTCTTGAAGTCCAAAAAGATATGGTTGACCACCTGCCAAATTATGATGCAAAAAAAGAAGCAACAAGATGCAAATTGGAAGGTTGTTCTGGGAAAACACACATGTTCTGTGATAAGTGCAAGGTGCACTACTGCTTTGTGTCACAGAGAAATTGTTTCAAAGATGCACACAGGAAATTACTCTAACATGACTTGATTCCTAAGTTTATTTAGTTTGTTACAATAAATGTGAAATCTGTCAAACAAAAACTCAAAATTAAAGTTGAAATGTTAAATTAAAGTTAAAAAAGGTAATATGTTATCAACAATTGTTGTTTATAATTTTATTTCATGTTGGTAACTTTTTTTCAAGTACTCCTGTTTTGACCTGACGTCCATTGAAATGGACAAAAAAATGTGCAATTAAAGAGTATTGAAATTTGTAATATTTGTATTTGGTCTCATTTATAGACGCCTCAAGTAAATGTACTTTCAGTATTTTTCGGAAACTGGTAACATAATTCAGGTCTGAAGGGGTTAACAAACTGTAGAAACACCTGTACGAAAAGGGTCTGAATCCGAAATCGCCCCTTAAACCCTCATTCACTATTCCCTACGTTAGTCCACTAATACTGTTCACTTGAAGGAGTGTCAGTGAAGGAAAACGAGTGAGTGAATTCGGACAGCCGTTGAGCGTAACTTACATCGGCTGTACACTCGTTATTGCGGTGCAATGTAGGATTGAATAAGTGCACTCAATAACGTCCACTATGGTTTCGGACACCACTACAAATGGCTGTCCCCTCAAATAAAGTCTCTGTCAGACTATCACGAATACCGTAAAACAGTCGTAATGCTAGATAGTGATTTCAGACTAGACCTAACTTTACTAAGTTTATCACCGTAGTAACGTTAGTACATCTATAAACGGGTTTGCTAATATAATGTTTGAATTACTTCAGCTAGCGAGCTAACTGGGATAGCTAGGATTCATTTCCAATCGATTTCACTTTCCGGAGATGATTAAAACGGACTAAAGGGAACTTCGATTTTTAAAAATATAAAATTCAGTTTTAGAATATATTCAACGTCTCAGTAATTACACAATACTTAATGTTATAAGACGATA